AGCGAGGCAGCCCCAGACGTGGAACGCAGACGCGTCACAAGGGAACCCGGTCCAAAGAAGGGTCGGCGAAACCTGCGGCCGCTGAGAGCACGGCCAGAGGTTAAGCTGGTGAGCGGCGTAGCGAACGGCGAATGGCCACAGAAAAATGGGGTGCACCGACATGAATCATGGAGGTGCGCGCCACCTCTATGACCATGCCGATGCGTCGCTCAACGACCCCATTCTGCTGTGGGGAGTCCGGTAGGGAGTACGACTGGGTGATGCCCTCTGCACGACAGAACTATGCAAACTGACCAGAGGCGAACTCGCCGCCACGGTCGGAGTGAAGACACAATACAGGGAGACCGCGATGGACGCGGGCAGCCACGACCCACGGGATGAGAACGTCAAGCACGTTGGCCTTCCGCTCCAGGGGAAACAATGTGGTAAAGCACGTGTAGTCATCCACGAGCACTAGAAAGTAGCGCTCGCGACACGGTCCGGGGACGGGGGCGGGGCCCCAGACGTCCAGGTGCAGGGCCTGTATTGGTGCGGTGGCAGGACGAAGCGAGGAGGAGTGAGGGGCATGGCGTAGCCGGCCTTCGACACAGGGCGTGCACAGTGGCGCAAGGGAGGTAGGGAGGGCAGGAAGCGATGCAGGGAGACCTAGGATGAGACCGTACTGGGACATGTGACGCAGACGCAGGAATGCGGGGTGCCCTAGGCGGTGGTGCCACAGAAGTGACGGGTGAGTGAGCGACCGACACGAGCACGCAGCAGCGACCTGGGTAGACACAGGACCCGGGAGGAACGGTCCAACCGGGGGGGAAGCAGTGTCCAGGGTAAAGATGCCAGACACCGGGTCCCGGGGGAACGTCGCAAGGGGGGAACCTGAGGCAGCCTCGGTACAGAGGGTGTACCGCTCGTAACCCGGGAACGTAGTTTTGATGCCGAGGTCCTGAAGACAGCCGACACCAACTAAGTTCCGGGAGAACGAGGGGATGTGCAGGCGTGTAAGGGAGCCCAAGGGGACCGCTGGACAGGGGAGGGTAGTGTAGCTGCGAGGAACAACAGGACCAGACAAGGGGTCAGCAAGTGCGACAGCGACATGCGTGGCAAGTGTCGTGAGTGCGGCGTGGTCGCGGATGAAGTAGGCAGACGTACCGGAGTCCAGTGTGAAGGAGAGCGAAGCAGTAGTAGCAGACGAAGGAGGAGCAAGTGGGGAACCTAGGCTAGATAAAGCAAATGGATCCCACTTACTCTAGAAGCGTCAGCATACAGAGAATGCAAGACATAACTAATCTGATCCATGTCTAAGTCAAAAACAGGGACACCGTGGCGCAGCAGGCTGGGCCAGTCAGGGAGGACCGGAGCCGGGCCGAAGCGGCGATGAAAAAGGTCGTCGAGGCGGCGGAAGCAGCGGGCAGTCAGGTTCGGGCGTTGACACACAGTGCCACGGAGGGGCCCGCTATGGAGCTGGTACTGGTAGCCGACTGCATCGAAACCGCCGGTAGACCCGGAGTTGCGAGGACCTCCTCCTCGGCCACCACCTCCAGAGGCTCTCGACCATCCTGGCGGGAGGCGGGCCCACGGCTGCTGCTGCTGTGGCGGCTGCTGCTGCGGCTGCTGCTGCTCCTGGACACCGGCCCCAGCCCCCTCGTCAGAACCACTGTCGCTGCCACCACCACCACCACGCCCTCCTTTGGGGCCGCGACGGCCCCGACGCTGGCGCTGCTGCTGCGGGAAGGCCGCCGCGATGGTCTCAGGAGCAGGAGCAGCCGTAGCGACCGCAGCGGAGACGTCCGCGTACATGCTCTGGGAGGGAGCACGGACCTGAAAGATAGAGACTGCCACAACACCGCTCGACTGAGCGATAGTGCGCTGGCGAGTCTTTATCTTAGAAAGGGCAGCGACAAAGGCGGTCAGGGTGAGGTCACCGCTAAGGAAGTGGTTGCGGGCAGTGTCTAGGCGGTCAGGGAGGCGCATGGCAATAAGGTACAGGATAGCGCAGAATGGTGGGGGGAAGGCATTGAGCTGAGCAGTAGTGCTAGCGGCACGGTAGCTAGTCTCAAGTGCGCGAAGGTGAGTGGCAAGATCAACAGCTGTTGGGAAAATAGAGAGATCGGGAAAGAGCATGGGGAGGATCAAGCGGCCAGCTAAGGCGGAGGCAGGCGTGGAGTAGCGTGCAACTACTGCATTTATGAAATCCTTGGCGTTCGCGACAGTGGTGAAACGCGGACACTCAGAAAGGGGAAGTGCATGTCTGATGTGCTACAGCATCGCGAGAATCCCAGACATCGCGTGCTAGCGACGCAGCAGCAAAGGCCTTACTCTCAGCAGTGGTGGGGTCAGCAGGGAGGGGATCAGGCACAGAGGGACGGGGAAGCAAGCCATCAACATGCATAGCTAGGGATTGCCCATCACTATTTTGATTGAGCATTCTCAAATTATACGCATGCTATAGATATTGTGAACCTTCATAATTCCATGTAACTCTTTCATGGTATATATATATATATATATATATATATATATATTTTTTTTTTCAGAACCCTAATACAGTAGATAAGGTGTTAACATCTTATATTAAAGATGTATCGTCTGAGAATTAATGACGTGTCGAACATTCTTTGTTGTGTACAACCTTTGCTGTTCAACAAGATGCATGCATACCAGTATTAGGGATTGAAAATACATCATACAAAAATATGTAAATATATATGCAACAAAATGTATACAATATGAATAACCTACCCCAGCTACATATGCAACCCATCCGACGCAATGCGTCGAACCTTGTTATTATCTGTATTCGGGTTTGGGTAGAATAAACCCTTCATGTGACATTTTGTTCCGTAGCGGTGAGTTTTTCGTCTTTTCCTCCTATGAGGCCTTAGGTGTACCTCCAACAATATTTTCCTGCTCCTTCTAGCTCTGTAAATGGCCTTGCCATGATGCAAGGTCAGCAGCATTGGCCTTGTAATAACCCTTGCCCTTATAGCATGGGCAAACAAGGGTTGAAGTCAAAGCCAACATCCAAGATCCTAGGATATAATAATGAAGGATAAAGTAAACTAGCGATTTCCTATCGTTGTACTTAGGAAGAACCCCCTCTAAGAAGTAGCTTAAGCTTGAGGAAGACTCTTGGAGAATAGTACTTGAGGCTCTGGTTGGGTAAGGTTTCCCCTAGGAGACTACACTAGAAGCTACTAGTGTAGGAAGGCTTGTGATGAGAGCTCATGACTTCAGAAAAATCCCATTTCAGGATTGATCTCTAAGAGTGGGAAGTTGAGAAAGAGCTTCTCAGCCCAGACCCCTTCCAATGACTCCCAGTAGCTGCTGAACCTCCTCCAAGTATCCAACGAGGTGAGCTAGCCTATGTGGCGAAGGGTTGGATTTCCAACCAATGAGAGGTTTACAACAATGTATTCAGATTAAAGCCGCGGTACACATTCACTTCAATTTGTTTCAAGTGATAAACATTTGAAACAGTGGTAACTGAGTGATGCCTGGTCGAGTTGACGAGATCTCGCTACCTGCAGATAAACATTTGAGGGGGGATTGTGGCATTTGTGTACTGATAATCCCGATGACCACCTCTCGACTCATCCCCCTTCCCCTCACGTTTTCCCAACCTTCCCCCACGTTTTTGATTGCCCCTTCCCCCAACGATCTCGATTCATCCTGGACCCCCAATTTCGAGACGCCCCCCCTGCCCCCTCAAATTCGATTCCCCTGGCCCCCCCAATGTCGAAGCCCCCCTGCCCCCCCCAAAATTAGATTCGCCCTACCACCCCTCGCTTGTCCAACTCCCCCCGTCAATTACGTTCCCCCCTTCCCCTCTCTAGTCCAATTCTCCCCCAGCCAAGTTCAATCCCCCCCCCCTCGCATTTCGTTCCGCTAGTCAAAGTTCGATTCCCCCCACCACTCGCGTTTCGTTTCGCTAGTCAAAGTTCGATTCCCCCCACCCCTCCCAATTCTAACTTCCCCCAGTCAATTTCGATTCCCCCCACCCAGTGAAATCCAATCCCCCCAACACAATTCCGATTCCCCAGTATCGCAAGTCTAAATTTCCCCTCGACGAAACTGAGCCCAATTCGCGTCAATACCTTTCTTTCGCCTCTCGCCCTCCAATCACTTCCGTCCCCCTTTCTTGACCTCCACATCTCCATCCCGAGACGCGTTGAATGTGTATCGCGGCTTTAACATTTAGTGTACATAATAAAAATATTGAGTTGAGTTGGCATTGCCAACCAACTCCCTGATTCTGATTGGTCGCAAATCCAACCATCGTGTGTGTTGGGAATTTCGCCAAAAAAAATTGTACAGCTAAAATCTGATTGGTCCCAAGTATCGACCAATCCCAAACCTCCCCTCCCAAGCCTTCCTTCCCATTTCACACTACCTAGCATAGGTAGCCAATTTGTGGAAGGTAGTTGGGACGGTCGTTTCTAGGCACGCGTACACCAGAGGACTGAAAGGGGCCCAAGTTTTTTTTGGCCGGTTACTCCAGTAACGGACGCCTTCAAATCGCTGGCAAATTGGGCCTGAAGGTAGGACCATGGTTACCCGTTTGGCAGGACCCTTGGAACATGGAAGACATTCGTTGTTTCTCCCGTGTACCCCGGTAACTGTCGCACAATCGCACCCTGGTTCCGAGTCAACCTACAATTGTTCCTTCTGCATGTTCTCCCCCAGCAGTGTCGCAAGTGGTTGAGCCGCCCAAAATTGGGCCAGTCCAGGACGGGCCGTTGCCTGTAAATCCGTGCCAGTCGGACTGACGAGTGCATGGAGGCCTCATGTGTACTGTGCAGAGGCCATGTGTTACAGGCCTAGTGGGCATAAATCTATCGGCAGCCGATTCGATTCTCTTTTCTTGAGCGTAGTTGGCGTGATCCAGCCAGCTCACGCTCCCTCCAGTCACGCGCTAGCTATCGAGATGAGGCTCACGCATCGCTGGAAGAAACGACGCGCCATTTCCGCGCATCGCTGGCTTTTCTACGGTTCTTATCGAGCGAGAGATAGAGAGAGAGAGAGAGCAGGGGAGGGGTAGGATGGATAAGATTCCGCTCGTCCGACGAGCGCGACTAGCGCGACCCAAAGAGACTTCTACACCGCGCTCATCCCAAGAGTTCGGCAAGCCTGGGGAGGGTGAATATGGGGTGAGGTGGCTTGTACAGTGTATCACATCCCAAAATACCAGGATCAGAAATACGGAGTAGGTATACAGTAGGTACGGCATAGGTACGTCTGCTACGGAGTAGACTTGCTATACGAACAACTATACCTACAATATAGGAGAGATCCACATTTTTGTGACGCAGGGAGAGAGTGGTATTGCGGCAGGAGTCCAGAGGCAGTATTACAGGCTGTCAGACGCGTGGCACGATGGTGGCGATTAACAGTCAAGGAGAGGATATCTTGACACTTCGTGATAAAGCTGACTCGCGTCATTCGCCAAGGATGCGCCAAGAAAACGTTAATTGCAGCAGTGCTGGGATCCAGTTTCCGCCGCTCCCTACTCGCGGGGATCACCGACACACGAATCATGACTCACCCAACAGCATGAGTCAAGCTGAGCTCGCGTCCGTCGCTCTCTTACCGGACTCGGAGTTCTCGAGGCCAAAACTTCCACTACTGGTCGTAGCACTAGGGCCAATGCTGCTAGTACCAGCACTAGGCCAAACTACTAGTAGTACTACTACTAGCAGCGCGGCCCGTCCACTGAGCGCGCTTCATTCATAACACACAGTTCGCTCTCCAACAATATTTTCAGTCCGCATCATGCCCCACAGATGCTCCGAGCATGAGAATGGGCACGGGCATGGGCATGAGCCTGACATGCCGCGCCATCACGAGTTGCGCTTCACGCCCAACGGATGCCCCGTCCCTCCCCCCTCCGCCCGCCGGTCCCTCTTCCTGCCCATTAGCACTGGCCCAAGCCCAGCCGTCGGCCCTGGAACCAGCCCCGGCTCTGGGTTCAGCCTTGACCACCTGAGCTCCTCCGAAGCAAAGGGTCAGGCTCGGCCAGGCCTGAGTCGGACTCGCTCTTGCCTAAGTCGAAGCATGATGATGTCAGCAAGCAGTGGCGCCTGCAGCAATAGCAGCCGCCGCAGCCACACGGAGCAGCAGCAGCAGCAGCAGAAGCCCCCGCAGTGGCCGCCACCGCAGCAGCATCTGTCACAGCAGCAACAGCATCAACCGCAGCAGCAGCCCTTACAGCAGCCGCCGCCACTGCAGCATCTGTTGCAGCAGCAGCAGCAGCGTCGCATGCCGCGCCGTCACTATCTGCGGTTCATGCCCCACAGATCCTCCGAGCATGAGACACCGTGCCATCACGAGTTGCGCTTCACGCCCAACGGATGCCCCGTCCCTCCCCCCTCCGTCCGCCGGTCCCTCTCCCTGCCCATTAGCACTGGCCCAAGCCCAGCCGTCAGCCCTGGAACCAGCCCCGGCTCTGGGTTCAGCCTGGACCACCTTAGCTCCTCCGAGGCAAAGGGTCAGGCTCGGCCGGGCCTGAGTCGAACACGCTCGTTCCTCAGTCGAAGCATGATGGTGTCAGCAAGCAGTGGCGCCTGCGGCAATAGCAGCCGCCACAGCCACAAGGAGGAGGAGGAGCAGCAGCAGCAGCAGCAGCAGCAGCAGCAGCATCAGTCGCAGCAAGATCAGCAGCAGCGGTGGCTGCAGCGGCCGCCACCACAGCAGCATCACTCGCAGCAGCAGCAGAGTTGCATGCCACGCCGTCACTATCTGCGCATTATGCCCCACAGATGCTCCGAGCCTGAGCCCACCGGATGCCCCGTCCCTCCCCCCTCCGCCCGCCACTCCCCCTCCCATCCCACCTCCACCTGCACTGCCTCCCTGCCTCGCCCTGGCCTCGCGCTCAAATCCCCTACCTCGTCCGTTCCCTCCGTTCATTCCTCTCTGTCCACCTCCCCTCCGTTCACCTCCTCCTCTCCATTCACCACCTCCCCTTCTGCTTTTGCCGGCCCTGCTGCTGCTCCGGCCTCTTTTCATTCGTCCTCCGTTTTCCCCACTCATTCCTCTCCTGCTTTCTCCACTCATTCCCCTCCTACTTTCACCGCCTTTAACCGATCCCCGCCCCCCGCCTCTGCGCTCGCGGCTGCTGCCTCTGCAACTTTCCAATCCTCCCCCGTGCCATTTCCCCCTCGCTCCCCTACCTTCCCCTCCACTAGCTCTTCCCACGCCCATCCTTCACCATCAATCGCTGCATCTCCCAGGCGTATGCTCGTCCGGCAACACACGGAACCTACCCTGCGCCCGAACCTGCCCCATGGCACTGGCCTGAACCGCGCCGTTAGCCTTGGAACCAGCCCAGGATACAGCTCTGGCTTCAACCCAGGCCAGCTGAGCTTTCCCGAACCAAAGGGTCACGCTCGGCCGGACCTGATTCGGACACGCTCTTGCCTAAGTCGGAGCAGGTCTGGTTGCAGTAACAACTCAGCAGGGGAAACGCCAACGCACGTTCGGCGCGTGTCTTTCAACAGCCTTGTGCGCGTGAGGTGGTTCATTGACTCCCCCCCTCATGCTGACAGCTGCTGCTGCAGTGGCAATAACGTGTGGCGCTCTGATGCTCTCAACCGACACCGGAGCTGCAGCGAGCGCAGCGCCTGCAACAACAGCACCCGCCGCAGCCACAGCGAGCAGCAGCAGCCGCAGCAGACCGGACACCATGACGCCTATTCCACCCCACCTGCATCGTTCACCACCACGGGTCACCCTCCAGTCCCCATGCGCCCTTTCTCCTCCTCCCCCTCCTCTCAGCTCCCCTCCTCCCCCTCTCTCCCTCCCACCGTTGACCCCTATTTCCATGTCAAGCCACACCCCCCGCCTCCCCGCAATTCCTCCCATCCCTCCTCCCTCCCCTCGGTGTCCCCTCCCTCACCCTCCTCCCCCCTTTTCCCCCCCTTCCCTGCTTCCCCCCCTCCCCACGCCCGCACTGGCATGCCCCCCTCCCCCGCGGCCAGAAGGCTGATGTCGCAGCTGAGAGCAGCGGCAGCCAGCAGCAGCAGAAGCAGCAGCAGCAGCAGATTGGACCCCCTGTCTCCTACATCGCCGCATGCTTCAACTGTCACCCTCCTCCCTCCGTACACTCCCCCTATTCCTCCGCCGCCCCCTCCCCTCTCTGCCCCCCATTCCTCCCTCCCAACGGGCGCACTGGCATGCCCTGCTCCCGTGCGGCACGAAGGCTGATGGCACAGCTGAGAGCAGCGGTAGTAGCAAGGCAGCGCAGGGTGGAGGCTGTGGGTGCGGCGTGAGTCGTTGCATACAAAACGTCCTTTTTGGTGCATTAAGTATAGAATATGGTTGAATATGGGCTGACTGCTTCTTCATATTGTACGCAACTGGTAAATCTGAGCAAGTCTGAAACTGGTACCAGTACATCAGCCACAGTTTGCCCCCCAATGAAGGACGTGGTTTTCGAAGGTAATAGAATAGACCTCACAACAACACCACCGAGGAGCGTCAGAGTGGTACTGTGTGAGCCTCACGTTGATGGAACAACGCAAAAACTTTCTGCTTCATTCTCCTGAGATAATCTACCCCTGTGACTTGGTGTGAGGCTATAAGGCGTTTACCGTACAGATGTGTGAGCTGCGCGAAACATTTAGATGTAACAAGCATCAGGTTTGGACTCTTAGAGATTCCGACAATAGCGAGGCATGCTGTGTCAGTAGCGCCATGTTAAGAGAGCTAGAAGGGTTCTAGCTAGGAGTAGGAGGAGCCATGGAAATGGTGAGGTTTTAGGTGCTAGGAAAGATGAGAGAGAAATGAGTGATAACTAGAAAGAGAGAAGGATACAAGGAGGGGATTGTACCCTCTACCGTATAGTTCGGTAACCTACCAAGCCTAACAATTATATCACACAATATATAATTTAACACATCCCCTAGGCTTGGTAGTGGCAAGCCCACACATACCCACACCCCCTAACCTAGCACCCCCATTCTCAAGCAGCAGCCACGACTACTCCAGTGGGGCCAATCCCACGGCCCGTGAGATGGCTACAGCGGCAGCCGCGGCAGTGACGACAACGGTGGCGATGGCGGCGTGCGGCGGCAACGGCCAGCGGCGACGACAGCGGCTTCGACAACAGCGGCGACGGCAGCCTTGTTATGTTTGTATAGACTGTATAGGTTTGTGCCTTGGAGGGTACAACCCTTAGGTCATATACCCTTGTACTCATGTTTTGAACTCATTATTCAGTTCTGATATGGTATCATGAGTAGGTAGGTCCCACCGCCCGCTCCCGCGCCCGCCCCTAGTCGGCCCCGCGCCCTTTCCTTGCCGGCCCCGCGCCCGCCTCTACTCGGCCCCGCGCCCGTTCCTAGCTGGCCCCCGCGCCCTTTCCTAGCCAGCCCCGCGCCCGCCCCTAGTCGGCCCCCCACCCGTTCCTAGCCGGCCCCCGCGCCTGTTCTTAGTCGGCCCCCGCGCCCGCCCCTCGTCGGCCCCGCACACCTTCCAGCTGGCCCCGCGCCCGCCCCTAGTCGGCCCCGCGCCCGTTCCTAGCTGCCCCCCCCCCCCCCCCCCCCCTCGCCCGCCCTTTGTCGGCCCCGCGCCCGTTCCTAGCCGGCCCCTGCGCCCGTTCCTAGCCGGCCCCGCGCCCGCCTCTACTCGGCCCCGCGCCCGTTCCTAGCTGGCCCCCGCGCCCTTTCCTAGCCAGCCCCGCGCCCGCCCCTAGTCGGCCCCGCGCCCGCTCCTAGCCGGCCCCTCCCTCGCGCCTGTTCTTAGCCGACCCCCGCGCCCGCCCCTAGTCGGCCCTGCACCCTCTCCTAGCCGGCCCTGTGCCCGTCCCTAGCCGGCCAGGCGCTCGTCCCTTGTCGGCCCCGCGCCTGTTTCTCGTCAACCGGCCTACCGCCGGCCCCGCACTGCACCGCACCGCACTGCACTGCACTGCACCGCACTTTACCGCTCTACACCGCACTGCAACGCACTGCACCACTCTCCACCACATTGCACCGCACTGTACCAGTGCTGCATCGCTCCTGATAGCGGACTCCGTGCTCCGCTTCAACGCAGAGGGTCAGCCGCTTGAGTTTGACACGTGGCTGGTCGACCTCCGCCATCATCTCACTGGTCAGCGGCAGGACGGCCACTCCCTGGCTGTCCACCTTGACGGTACGCTCCCCTGCCTTGACCCCCCTACTCCCCTGCCCGCTGATCCCTTATCCGCTAACCGTGAGTCCGCTAAAGCTGCTGCCCTTGCTTGCTCTGTCTAGCTGTCGCGTGATGCCGTCGATCAGTCATGCCCTGCCCCTGTCTGAGCGCCCCCGCTTTAGGTCAGTCACGACTGCGCATGAATTCCTAGATGCCGTTGTCAAGCGCTATTCCACCCCGCACACAGCCTTTGTAGGTCGCCTGATCCTACCGATGCTCTTCCCTGACTTTGCGTCGTTCCCCACTGTCGCTGACCTGGCCGCTCACCTGCGCACGATAGACGCGACCTGGTGCTCCGCCGGCACTTAGACCCAGCTTAGAGCCTTTCAGCCGCCCCTCTGCTCTACCCTCTACCTGTTTGCCACCCGCCTCCCTGACCGTCTTGCTACTCCCCGCGATCGCTTTCTTAGCATCCACCCCGGTGAGATGACGGCGGAGGTTACATGTGGCTACAGCAGATGGTCGAGCAGTCGCAAGTTGAAATTGCAGTACATCCCGACGAACGAGCAGCCGGCAAATTACTTGACCAAGGCCTTGCATTTTCCTGCATTTGATCGATGCTTTGGCAGAGTGGGTCAGGTGCGGTTGTCTTCGGCGAAGGGGAGCGAAGAAGTAGTCTCTTCAGGGGAAGAGTATGCGCTATGACCTCTTTCATGGCTTGTGTGGTGATTCTAGCGTGCGAAGAAGTGGAGATTCTCGCAATTTCTTGTGTTCATTTTGTGTGTTTTCCATCCTTATGATTTCCTCTAGATTGATTCTCTGTTGTTTGATGATTTCGCATGACCAGTGCAGGGGAGTGTTGAGAATAGCCCTGATCCTGCGAAGGTTGCAGAAGGCAGTCCGGATATCTCTTCTGTTGACGACCCCCTCGGCAGAAACGAAATTCGGCAGAAGCGTGGCAGAGAGTCATCTCGAACTTCGCTTCTGCGAGCGACCCCTTCGACAGAAAAAACGAGGACCTAATTTTTCTGATGAAAGTCCCGTTCCGAAATCGCGAGAAATTTGCGATTTCGTAAGTTAACCATAGAACCGATCTGGACCGAAAACGGCAAAATCCACCTGCGACATTGAGAAATTGAACACGTGACGCACATTTCGCAGCTGCGGAAATGTGCGTAACATCTGACAGTTTCATATCTGAAACTGTTAAACAACTACTTCTGAGTGGGTAAAAATTACAAACTAAGCATGTGCTGTAATTTTCACATGCCATTGCTGACTTGGCTAAGCGCAGCCTAGAGTAGTTATATAAACGTTCTCGTGCGAACGTTCACTCCGTGTTCAATGAGGTTCAATGGGGTAGTGATAGTGTTTGCATTGTGTACCATACTTTGAAATCTTCATTCTAGTGAATTTGTGAGCCCAAGCTTTCTCAAGCTACTCAGTGAAACACACAATTCTGAAGGCAAATCTCTCCTTAGAGAACAACAGAGCTAGAGAGCTCAATCTGCGTCAGGCACTTCCGCAGAAGCTCCCGTTATTGTAGAAAACTCGGCAATGACCTCATCCTCCCTAACTTTGTCGACACCCTGTCTGCCATAGAGACCCGCCAGCGCTCTATCGCCCAGACCAGCATTACTGTGCCGGTCCCTATCTTCTAGGGTTGTGCCCCCGCTCAGTGCACCTTCTCCGACAGTTCTGCTGTTGTGGCTGAGACTGCAGCTGCGGCGTAGTTCCGTCTGGGGAAGGGTCGCCGCCCCAAGGCTGGGCGCGGCGGTGGGGGTGGTGGTGGAGTCGGGTCGCCCGGTGGTAGCGCTGACGAGGGGACCGTGCCTGGTGCAGCCGAGCAGCCGTCTCAGCAGCCGCAGGCGTCGCAGCCGGACCCGCACCAGCCGCAGCAGCAGCCCCAGCCCCAGCACCAGCCGCAGCAGCAGCCCCAGCACCAGCCACAACAGAGGGGGGCGAGCGGTCTCCCGCCCGGGTGGCCTGGCGCTGGTGGTGGCGCTGGCCGTGGTGGTCGTGCGCGTGGTGTGCAGTCAGGTGGCGGTTCGGGTGACGGAAGCTGTCAGTACGTGCTCCAGACCGGTCCTTATCGTGGCTTCGTTTGCGGTAAGATCGATCACACCCCCGTCCGCTATTTCCGTTGTCTGGACGACCTGTTTCGTCAGCGCTTCGGCCCGTCGCCCGACCTCTCCGACTGGCACAGCTTGCTTCGTCGTAGTGTTCCAATTTTTTATATGGACATGGATGAGATTTGTTATGCCCTGCATGTGTTGTATGCTGACGACTCTAGTGTGATGGTTTCTTACTACCCCTTGTTGCCTAGTGTAGGTGTGTCTAGTCTTGCCTCCCCTACTGCGTCAGGCGTAGGATCCCCTGCCTTGTTTAGCCTTGGTTCTTCCTTCGCTGTTCTGACTCCGGCTGCCACTGCTGCGCTTTCCTTCACCCTGGACTCTGGCGCTTCCCGGTGTTTTTTCCGCGACTCCACTACGCTGACGCCACTTGCTGCTCCTGCTGCAGTTTCCCTTTCCGACCCCTCCTCCGGCCCAGTAGTCGCCCGCAGTTCCACCACCCTTCCCTGTCCGGCGGTTCCTTCGGGCTCTCTTACAGGCTTGCACATCCCCTCGTTCTCGAGGAACCTAGTTGGTGTCGGCTGCCTCCAGGACCTTGGCGTCACCACTACGTTCCCTGGTCATGAGCGGTACGCTGTCTGTACCGAGGCCGCCACTGGTGTCCCCCTCACCACGTTCCCCCGAGACCCGGTGTCCAGCCTGTTCACACTGGACACTTCGACCCCCCCAGTTGGGATGTCTCCTAAGGTGGCTCCGTCTACCCAGGTTGCTGCGGCCTGCTCCTGTCTGTCGCTCACTCACTCGACACTCCTGTGGCACCACCGTCTAGGTCACCCTGCACTCCCGCGACTACGTCACATGTCCCAGCACGGTCTTGTCCTAGGTCTCCCAGGGTCGTTCCCTGAGTTGCCCTCCTCCCCAGCACCACCGTGCACGCCCTGTGTCGAGGGCCGGCTCTGCCGTGCCCCTCATTCCTCCTCGTTCCCCCCTACCTCCACACCGCTCGAGACCCTACACATGGACGTCTGGGGCCCCGCCCCAGCCCACGTCCATGGGCCGCATCGAGAGCGCTACTTCCTTGTGCTTGTCGATGACTACACGCGCTACACCACGGTGTTTCCGTTGGAGCGGAAGGCCGACGTGTCTGACGTTCTTATCCCATGGCTTGTCTCTACGCGTGTCCACCGCGGTCT